ATTTCTTTACCTTTTTTCGCACCTGTATACGGTCGCCATATATGATCACCACTCTGTCCTTGCTCTCGTTCGTGGTTAGTTGATAGGACAGACTCTAAGTGAATTTCGATCGATCGTTCGACGAAGGCAATAACGTCGATCGCGTTATTACAGTCGCCATAAATTTGTATGTTTTGTTTTTCCGTGTTTGTCGATGTTTCGTCCACATCGTCGTCGTCGTCATCGATGGCGATTTCGTCCACCAAATATGCCAAGGCCGATGATGGAGAGGAAAGATTGATGAAGCGGCGCCAATCGTCGTCAATGGATCCAGGCGGCGGCGTCATTGTGATCATCGTTGTGGTCGTTGTTGACGTCGTCGGGGGTAGAAGATGGCACGGAAATGATGAAATAGAAGAATTTGATTGATTGACTTTGTGAATTTCGCGCGACTGTGTGTGTCTTTACTTGTGTTTGTGCTTTTTTTTCGTGATTTTCTTAGATCGCGTACGTTTGTCGACGCGAGAATCGGATGTACATATATTATATATATATGTATATTTTTGTTCTATATATATACGATATATACATATGTATATATATACATATATATTTTTTCTTAAATACTCTCTCGCGCTCTCTCTCTCTCTCTTTCTCTCTCTCTCTCTCATTCAATTATTCGTCCGATTATTCGCACATATCCGCCGCTTTCTCTCGTTTTCTCTTTCGTTCTCTCAATCAAACACGTGCGTCTATATACATTATATGTTTTACCTTCACTTTGGTTACTCTAGGTTACATCCGCTTTACGTCGACGAACAAGCACGTCTCAGCCTCTACTGTGCGTCCGCAAAGAAGATCTGGATTTCTAGCATTAAATATCTATTTATATTTTTATTTTGCCGACGCATCCTCTAATGCATTTTTTTTTTTCGATTTTTACTTTTAATCGCTCTCAAGTCATAATGCGACACGATATTTTCATTTTTATTTTTCATTTTTTTATTTTTTTTTTTTTTTTTTTTTTTTTTTTACTTTTTTTCGGCTTGGTCGAAAAATCCGATTCGATTTCGGTGTTAGAACGTCGGTCTAGTGCGCGAAGGGCATTTTTCAAGGCGTTTTTCAGAACGAGGCCTCGACGAGGTAAGTGCCGTCCATGGCGACCCCCGTCTGCCCACCCTGGGCCTCGGACACTTGGGCCCTTGTAGCCGGGATGTACTGACTGTACGCCTGCTGAAATCCACAACCACAAGCACACACTACATTGTTGCACGCTAGGCATACCTATGCTAATGCTTTCTACGAGCTCTCCCTAAACTTCTATCTACTCTCGCGATCTATCGATCTATGTATGTGTGTGTGAATGGATGTGGAAATGAAGCTTTTTTTTTTTTAGTAGAAATACCGGTTTTTTTTTATTAAATTATTTTACTAATTTTTTATCTAGTCAAAAGCCATTAGACTTTTTAATACATTGATTTATGATATAATTATTATTGCATGACATAGATGAGAGATGTCTCAGAATTATTTATTGCAAATATTATTTTTCTACAATATATGTACAATACTTTTGAGTTTCTAATTAGCAACAAATGATTGCAAGTATATTATTGAAAGTTTATTTGTGCCAAAAAGAAACCAATTATTTTATATAGTAAATTTTTTATTGAAATAAAAATAATCTCAAGAGATATATTTTCTCTCCTTCTTATTCATCGCAATTTCCGCTTTCTAATGAACATTTTCATTAAAAATCATGACGGATGCATGATTATAAGCTTATGTGCGCCGGAAGGAAGCAATAACCTCCTAATTTCACGATTCCATCTTCTTCGTTCGACCTTTCAACGCTTTAATAAAAATCGATTTCACCGATTTTCAAAGGATATATATATATATATATATATATATATATATATTTCACGCTGCCTAGATCATATCGACAGGCTTCGTGGCGTTTCAACTGATCCAATAACTTCGGAATTGACGAAGTGACGCGCATGCTGCGCGCATCATCGACGAAAACGAATTAATTCGCAAACGTCGATGACGTATTCTGAATGCGTCCATTCTGTCAACCAATTGGAGTCAAACTATTTGTATTTGAAAGCACGAAGGATAATTTCGCATTCGAACGAAATCGCACGTTTTCCGCTGATCGACAAAGCGGTAAACTAATGAGTGCCTGTAGACAACGCGATTTTCGGTGCAATCACCTCCCGTCAAATTGCTATCGTAATAATCGTAATAACACTGTTATAGAAATAACACATGTTCATATATATATTTCTCCATACTCAATTAAGTTCATCATTCATTGGAAAATTCAAGATCTATATAAATAAACTAAGAGACATAATTATTAGAAATATTAATAATTATATATTATATATATATATATATATATATAATTATTAAAGATTAATAATTACGTACATATATAAATTTATATATATCATAGTTACACAAAAGTGCTCTGAAAATAAGTGCATGTTCTGAACAATATTCTGTGCTGTCAACCACGAAAGTACAAAACGTACAATAAAAGACAGACCAAAATCAGGAATTAAAGAGAGAGACGATCCGTACACATTATCAATTCTTACCTTACATAGAAAGAAATACTTCCTAAGGACTTTCACAAATGTTAACATGTTTATGTAATAGAAAATATTACAAATATATCATGTTAGATAGGTATGTATACATATGTACATATGAATTGTCATTTACATTATTTCTCCAAACAGGGTTGAGTCATTTTTAAATTTTTTTAAAAATGTCTTTAAAAAAGTACAATGTACTAGCGAATATTTAAAAAATGCATTACATTCTGGGAATAATAATTAAAAAAATTCAGTTCTTTTTTTAAACCCTTTCAAAATACAACAACAACAACTATAAATATGAATATTACAAGTACAGAGAAATATTGGAGGATATGGTGGAAGTTATCACGTTTAGAAAAAGTTAATCTCAAAAAATAACTACAAAAAAGTAATATAAACTTAAAGCATGCTATTCAAATTTGATCAACATTAATCGTAAAACAAATATTGTGTATTTATGAATTTTAATACTGCTATTCTCGCATCGCTTAAATGTCGATTGAAGAAAATCGCGTCGCGTTTTTTTCGTAACGATCGATTGAAACTACGACGCGATATTCCCGTGACGTTTACAGCCGATCTCATCGTACCTGTTGGACGCCAATTAATCAATGCAATTTGACAGCGAAATCGTAACCTGAATGGATGCAGCGAGGAATCTTTGCAAGTTATTAACGAAGGGGAAAAGCGCTCGATTTCCAGATCGATTAATCATCCAGCCGACTGCAATCGACGCGACTCGACAGGATAACGAGTATACGTAATTAATCTTGCTCACTATGATGGAATAAGATTTCGGGCCGAAAAGTAGCGGATGATATAGTGTTTATATACATATGTTATATAGACAATTATACAGGATGTCGCAAAACCTGTAATTCGAGCGAGAAGAAATTATTAGCGTGATAATTAGCGTGATAAAATAATTGTCAAAATAAGCTGCAAAAAATATAGTCTAACTCTTATTGGAAAATTTTTTTTTAAATTAATCTTTTAAATTATTTTAAAATTAATATGTGAAAAAAACTTAAACAGAATATTAAAAAATTATGTAAGAATTATAAAGTCGGAAGATTTAAAAAATACACATTAAAAAAAGACTTACAATATTATAAAGGTAAATTTTTAAAGTTGATACGTGGTAAAAAAAAATGTTTAAAAACAACACTTTGTGCGACGACCTGTATAATAAAGATATTATATATCTCTGATGCATTTAATATACTTATAGCTAGAAATAACTGAGATAGAAATAGAAAATAGAAACGCGCATACGTATAGGTAAATATACGATTTTTGATATTTATACGAAGTAATAACAATTCTGCGACTGGACATGCAATTACACAATTAGAAATATTTGTTACAACGTATGTACAGGACACAATGACTGTTCCGCACGACAAAGTGAATAAATTCGAGGCGTAATTATAATTATGCGCTTACATGCGCGTAATTAAGTGACAGTTCGTACAGTGGGGAAGAATTTCGGCACGCTCGAGCGAGTATGTATGTATTTTCAACTGACCGGATTTAACAGCATTATCCCGTCATTCTAATGATAATTTTAACGTAGCTTCAAATAATTATGGATTTTAATTAATTAATTTTAGGACAAATATGACAATTATGACGAGATCATTTATTAAAGTCAAATTAATATAGCTCATAAGATTGTTTGAGCAATAATAATAAAATGACTTGCGGTAATGAACATTTTAATCCTACATCTTATGAATATGCTAATTTATGGACTCGCCTAATATATTTTCAATCCTTCAAATTTTCAGCTTCCTTGGCTTCATATTGTTCGCCTAATGAATCCTTCCCTCAATTTTCTAAGCTGTTAAGCATTGTATTTTCCTTTTCTCGCACACAAAATGTTGATATTGCACACTTTCAATTGCTCTATTTCTAATTATTTCCAAAGCAAATCAATATTGGACTATATTTTCTCACTTTATTAATCCTCAAATTATCGATATTTGAAGATTATTAAATTTTCAATCAATTTAATTAGTTCTAATTTTTTAATACGTTTTTATATTTTTATATTTTTAATATATAAAGATTTAAATATATATCAAACTCTTGGCAGATATTATACAAAGATATCACGGTTAATCTTCCATATCCATTTCTTTAAAAAAAAAGTCCTAATTTTCAAATTTAAAAAATCTATACAAAGTTTACAAATTGACAAATCACCGACGTTTTCCATCGAAGTGCGCGATATTGAGTTAAAATTACGCGATCGAGCGTGCTAGACCCTCTTTTGTCGTATGGTTAACAATTAATAGTAATAGAGCCGGGGACGGAGATTAAAAAGTGCTCGTTACTGGGTCGACGACGAGTAGTGGATCGACGGAGCTTTTTAGAACGTACACTTAAGATTCAATTTTGTCTTGCCTGGCTGATCTGAAGTGGGTGCTCCACTACAGGCTCCCGCTGTTCCTTCGGCTATGCATTATTCATAAAAGCAACTCGTGTTACATTATAGTGTGCATAATGCGCCGGTTAATCCGGCGCGACGTCATCGCCAACGTTGGCGCGAGCTTGATGACTTTTGAACGCAAGAGTTTAGGAAATTAGAAATGTTCACGCGCAAATCTAACGATATACGATATTACGATCTCTATTAATCGCAGAACGTCTTCATACAAAAAGTGATAGTCGCGCTTATGATGATTATTATGATTAATTACGCTTATGATGATTAATTACGTTAATTAAGGGATCGGAAACTCCTTATGGTTTGATAATATTTATTACGTTATTATACGATGTTGCGATAAAACTGACGTTGAGGCGACCGGCAAGTCTGCCGCGTCGAACGTTCTCTATACCTTTCGAAATTTCACTTTTCAATCTAAAGAAATTTGATTGAGGATGTATGGTATGTGCGATATACGTACGCGATGTAAACTTTTGAGCGCGAAGCTTAATTGAATTCCCATGTCCGCGAAAGAAATTCCGATGAAGACTCGGATTCGCTTTACGCGAATCCCAAGATCCCGCAATGTAAAAGTTCTACACCCGAATCTTCGAAAGTTGAAGCTTTTCTTATGCATGACGGTCTGTCATTTAGAAATTCTCTGAATTTTATTGTTTTTCAAAAATTTCAATATTGCCTCAAAACTGAGAAAATATCAAAAATTAAACTATTGATAATTATATTTAACAAAAATATAGAACAATGAACTTGTAATCCTATAACTGACAGCGTAAAAAATTCTACACAAAATCACTAAACTAGTTCTAAATTCTTTGGATTGCTTATATAATTATATAAAAATGAAGTAATTACTTAAATCTATTATACAAAAAATATGAACATTATTTATAATATATTTGGCGGATACTAAAAAAACCTTTTAATAAATTCTATTACATTTTAATATCACTATTGCCTAAAAATAATCTGAAAATATCATGGATTATTAACTGTATCGACAATATGTTTCTCTCGTAGTGAAAATCGTAATATGGCACCACACATTATTACTTTATATGACTCAATCATTATAGACTTGTACTCGTGCTGTCTACATTCTTGCTTATATATAGCACTTTATATTGAACACGTAAATCAATTTCCATTGTACCCGTGTGAAGACACAATGTTACGTCTTTCGAACCTCACACTCTTTCGTTATATATACCAATGCTGAATGATTCTATTAAGTTTTAATTTGTCACAAAGCTTCGAGCGTTTTAAAAATGATATTCACAAAAAGTGTAAAATAAAAATTTGTATGTCATATGACACTTCTTTACGAGTACTAAATACATAATAAAACAATTATATTTAAAACTAAAACATATCTATCTGCAAATGATGCATATAAATTAAACTGATTCATGTAAAAATGCCTCGAAATTATTGGAATAAATTTCGAATAAAAAAATTCCTTGTAATTTCTATAAAAGTCTGATGGCTGACATAATTGCTTTGTCAATTAAATTTCAATTTAAAATTCTATTAAAATTAATTGTCATTTGCGAGTATATAATAATTTATTTACGTACTATATCATATTCACAAAGTTACAAAATTATATGCATATCTTTGGAAAAATTAAAGATTTACATAGATAGAAGTAATCTCAAATGCATTTTCTTGCAAATTATCTGCTATTACTCGTAATCACTCAAAGCGCAATATAATCGCGCAGATTAGAATCGCAATTTGCCGAAATCAATATTTTACATCGCGCAATAGAGGATTATTCGAAGCAGACATCAAAGATATAATGTGTTACTTATTATTATTTATTAATAGACTCGAATGTAATTAATTATCAATTTGATTGCTATCCGCATATTGATTAATCAATAATTTCTAAGTATAGTATGAGAATAATAGAATTTGTATCTTGACATTCTCGCGCAAATGTTTTAAAAAAAATGTTACTCTCATAAATTGAAAGATTTCTCCAAAAATTTGACTTATATATATTTAAAATCTTAAAAATCATTTAAATTTTTAATTAAATATTTTATAAAATCTAATATCACATATTAATTGGAAAATTTGATTCCATCAGAGAGCATCACTGACAATGAAAATAAAAATAATACAATTTATAAATTTAAAAAATTTAAAGCAAACACGAGGGTGACATATATTGATTCAACCGGATAATTTTATACAGTAAGAGTTTCTCCTCGAGTAAATCGACGTTTATAGAAATAAAAGATTGAAGAGATAAAGTAATAGATATTATAAAGAAAAAGTTCAAGTAAAACCGAGCTTAATGAGTCCGCGAGTACTGAGGCCGTCTGTCGTCTTTCTGTGTATTCTTCATGCTACCATTCCTTTCATCTTGGCCTTTCCTCGCTTGTGTCTACAGAGAAGATCAACAAGAGTTTTCGTAACGAGCAGAAAACGGTGGATCGAAACGTTTCGTCCTAATTGGAACGCGGGTGGCTCAGCCGAAAGAAAGCGGATCTTACTCGGTTGGGATTCTAATGAATGAATTATTCACGTGACATGCTTGCATGACCGGAAACTGTCTTTAAAATCCCTCGGACTTTTCACGAACGATTAAATTGATGCTCAGCGACCATTTTGTTAATTAATATCAAATTTTGATCTAATAAAATCGTCGATTATTATTTAGCTTTGATATTTTTTGCTCATTTATTCCACTCTGGTTATTCTTTGATTCATGTAATATAATATAGTATTTAGAAACTTTTTTCAATATTTGATATATATTTTATTAAAAGATTTCAATTTTAAGGTTTTAAATTAAACGAATTGAGACGTCAAATAAGCGGTTTACATTTATATCCATTGTAAAATATCTAACATAAAAAATTAAGAAGAAATAGATTTCTTATATTTTCTATATTTACTCTCTTATGCTACGTAAAAATATTTTATTTAAATTAAAGCAAAAATAAATAAAAAGAATAATATATCGTTTGTGCGCGTATTACTTTTAAAACACATTGTCAACTATAAATGCGTGATTTTATATCATTTACATCACACATGTACATAAATATATACAGACGCGCTATATAATACTGTATATACGTCTGTATATAAATACATATATACATATACAAGATGTAATTAAACTTTCATATTTCTTTTTTTAATAATATATTCTCTAGCCAATTTAGGAACAATTTTACCTCAACGAAAATGTCGAAGGAAACCATTTTTTGCAAGTTTCTCATTTTTAATGAAGAACATTTTTAATGTATCTTTGTAATCAAAGTCTTAAAAATTCTATTAAAATAAAACTATCTAAAATTAATTGAAGACTGCAATTTTGTTAATATTTTATTTCACAATGTTATTCAGCTTGCGAAAAAAGCTGCATCTTTTTCAATCATATATAACTCGAAAATTATTGGTGCCTCGGGCTTCACTGAGGGAAAATAGTCTTTAAATTGACCACGGAATCCGTTATTGGAAAGAAAATACGAAAGTTTAGTTACACTCTGTATACACGAACAATATACAATGTGCATGTGTGCATGTATAATTCGCAAAGCAATTTCTTCAACGCAATTGATCATGGTGATATTGCATCGTTATCAGTGGTATTGCCACGATTAAAGTTAATTTGTCCATCAGATTTGTGTACGCGCAAACGTTTCTCACATGATATGCATTCGCAATGCCCGTACTCGCCCACTACGTAGGAGGAGGTCACGTGCGGGTTGCACCAACCGATCGATCATCGTTTTGCAACGTGGGTATGCCACTTATCATTCAACATGTACAAACTGTATGCCGCGTACAGATATGCAAGTTACACGCGATCTATATAGGTGCAGTTGCGCGATTGTGGATTGTATAAATAATCACGATCGTATTAATTCCGCCGAGAGAAGTATCCGAGAGCAAATTAATTCGTTCGAAATACTGCTTTCCGATTGAAATTCTCGGTTTTTGTTTGTACCGCGTGTTGTTATTGGGAAGTAGAAATCGTAACTCTCAATATAAATTTAACAAAATATAACGAAGCGAAAAGTAAAGCAATACCTATTGTATATATAATATGTTTATTTATTTTTTTTAATTATCGTAAGCTTTATTTTGCTGAACCTTGTGTATCTCTTAACATTATTTCATTTATTTTGCACATAAACCAGTTTAACTTGAATTATATTTGGAACTTTTGTGCAAAATACAAGTATTAGAATGTCTCTCATTTTCTACATCAATATTAATATTCTCTGTAATTAATCATTTTTACTTTCCTCTTTATTTAATTATTATTACTAGATATGCCAAATAAATTATTTAATTTATGACGAAAAGAGTGTGAAATCCGAGCACGTAACAAACGTAACAATTAATTATAATATATACAATATGGAGTTTTAATTTTCATAATGTATGTTAAATAAGCCATTTTTAACTTTTTAACATAAAACTTTAATTTCCCAATAATTTTCCAATAATCTATTAAATAAAAAAAATATATGTAGATTCAATAATATACACTTATCAAATAATTATGGAAACAACTTGATTTTTATAAATTTATTTCTCGATGAGATAACGATAATTGCAATGTGTGGGTGTCACTTTCTAAAAGAGTATAGAGAAACACGATCGAACCTACTTTCTTTATTCGCGCTTTATAAGGCGTTATACATCACGTGGCGCAGCCCTAAGGTCAGGGCTATTGTATCAACTTGACGTCGATAATTGTGCAAGGATGACCATACGCGGTTATGTACAGCGACTTGTAAAAACTTATGTGCAGGGACAGCGATTTTCTCATCAAACGTTTATTTTTGGCTCGCCCGACTAACATTTTCCGCCATTTTTTCACACTTTTAATTGCTTGCCGTAATTAGCATTATCGATTCCCATCCCCTTTCCTTCCTAGTAAATAACGTAAATAAATTATCCTTTTTCCGCACGCGATACGAATTTTATTACCAAAATTAACAACCGATTTGCCTCGAGCATATGTTTAAAAATTTTA